TGCACAAAGCTAATATTGTTTATTTATAATTCAAGTATTAATTATCTTACCTGTAGGTTTACATACTGGTTTTTGATATCTCCATTCTTCATCTATACATTCCAGTCCTTGAACCATCTTAAAGCCAGTACTACATGTAATGACTACATTTCCACAGTCGTTATCAACATTTGCGTTTGTAACATTAGGATAGTTCAAACAATCTGTAAATTTAATTTTGATATTATTTTTTTCCCTTATATACTTCCGACTCGACACACTACCCCCCGACAAATATATCATCGAGTATTTGTTTCAAGGACTACATGAAAATGTGTTTATGCCAGTAAACTTCCTGTTGTAATCCAAGTTGTTGAACAGAAAGGCCTCTTCTGGATCTCACTCTTGCAACAATTAAAAAGACACATAAATTTGTCCCAAAATTTCTACATAATGCAACTTTTAGATAATAAATAAAATATTTACCGGCATCTATTAGTATCAATATTGTTACTGAGACCAAAAGAACGGAACATAATAGATTATTCATGGTTCCAACGTTAACAATAACAAGACTCTTTGATGTTATATATACAGAAGAGACTTGTTGATGCTGATGTCGAATGCTAAATGTGATCGCGTATTTATAGTAAAAGCAAAGTCTCCCACTGAACAGATGTTTCTATAAAGACTGTAAATTGATATTTATCACCAGCAGATCATTAATAGATATCATACACAAATTTCTCTGTGTTATTTAAAGAGACAGTAGTCCATTTTGGGGTTGATGTTTTGAATATATGTAAATAGTATTCAGAAGTACTAGAAATGTACGAAAATCAACTAATTCCTTTAAAAATACTTCAAAATAGGAATTTTACTCACTATTTCTATATATGTCTTTTTTTACGCCCACATGAAATGTAAACACTCTACAAGACACAATTCTTTACGGATTTTGACAAAACTTGGCGTAAGTCCGTCCGTCAGTCCCCAATTGCTCGAAAACACTCTTCAAACACTCTTCAATGCACAATTCTTGACTGGTATGGCTGTTTGTAATCACCCAAGGATGAACTCTATACCAAATCAGAAAAGTCGAAAAATATTTAGTATGAGTTATTGCCCTTGTTCTTAAAACGTGTTCAATTTTAGCTTGTAAACAGTAAAGAGGGTCCAATTCTTGACAGATTTTGATGAAACTTAGTAATATTATTCAGTATCGTCTCCAAAAGTTCAAAAGAAGTGTATGTCCGAAGGTTGAATATATCATACTGGTAATCGTTACTGTACTGCCAAATATTTTTATTTAAAATCAAAGCTGCCAGTGGGCGTATATTACCGTGCCCGGTAAGCTATTTATTATATATTATCACAGAGTATCTTAAATTGGCGAGTCGTCATTTTAACATTCAAACGCAGATAATTCTGGACACACATGGATTTGAAGGCTCAAATTTCGGCGGTGAGCTGTGAACACTATTATTGATTAGCTCAACTACAAAATTCCAGTTTCTGAGACTAGAGTATGATTGGTCAGAAAAATGGCCTACCTGTCCCTTTAACACAATTTTTTAACGATTGGTAACATTAAGCTTAGTCAATATTTCACCCAATTATTCTACAGGTCAAATGTAGAACAATAAGATTAATACTAAGTTCTTCGAACAAATTGTAAATATGAAAATTACATCTTGAAGTGTTTCAATTATTTCTTAATTCAAATTTAAAAAGTAGAATAATTATAATAATATAATTATAATAATTACAATAATATAAGTATAATAATTATAATAATTTAAGTATAATAATTATGATAATATAAGTATAATAATTATAATAATATAAGTATAATAATTATAATAATAGAAGTATAATAATTATAATAATATAAGTATAATCATTATAATAATATAAGTATAATAATTACAATAATATAAGTATAATAATTATAATAATATAAGTATAATCATTACAATAATATAAGTATAATAATTATAATAATATAAGTATAATCATTACAATAATATAAGTATAATAATTACAATACTATAAGTATAATAATTATAATAATATAAGTATAATCATTATAATAATATAAGTATAATCATTATAATAATATAAGTATAATAATTACAATAATATAAGTATAATAATTACAATAATATAAGTATAATAATTATAATAATATAAGTAAAATAATTATAATAATATAAGTATAATAATTAGATTTCGGGGAGGAGAGGGTTGGTGTTCCAAATC